TGATGGATTCAGATCAACTGCCAACACATTTGATAGGTGTTGTGATTTTTTCATTGTTTTACATCACAAAAATTGCAGTTGGTTGAAAAATGGTAACCAAAACCCATTGTATGGAAGCGTTTCTGGCCACTCGGGAAGAGATTCGTTTCCATAATAGGGTTTGCAGTAACGGGATGAATTTGAACTTTGCCACATGCCCTTGTGTTGCGTCCCATTGAGGAAAGTCTTCCGGATGACGGGGAGTCTTGTGACTCTTACTCAAAATGGGTAGTGAATAGCATTCATCCATGGCATATCAATTTTCTCCATCACTATAATGTGAAACATCGACAATTTTAAACTTTCACAAGTTGTGAGAGCTCCAAAAAATTTTCCGAGTCTTGTCCTTTCACATCATTCTTAATGATGATTGAATAATGTCCAAGATGATTAAAATGTCTACCGGAAGTGGGTATGACTTAAAATATCAAATGGGTGTGGCTTATTGTGCTCTCATTACCATGACATGGATTTTTCAAAATATCGTCAGTTTACAGTCAATTGACAATAAATTCCATCATTTAGGATCCTTCAAAGTATCACCAATCCCATTGGATCTTGGTGCATCACCATCCCCAATGCATCTTGGAGCATGACCAACCCAATGGATCTCACAGCATCCCAATGCATCTCGCAGCCTCCCAAAGGATATCAGAGCATCGCAACCCCATATATAGTTTAAAACATAATGATATATTTTGGAGCATCACCCCGGAGCAATCCAAACAAATTTGAGTGCAATGTCATTGCCAACATCCCAATGTAACAGCGATGAGATTGGGTAACATACCAAATGCTCGAGCATCACATCACCCTGACATGGATTTATCAAAATATCGTCAATTGACAGTAAATTCCATCATCTAGGAGCAGTAACATCATGTATAATTCCGGTTTTCATGCAGAATTTCAATTGTAATGTTAACAATAGCAACTTGACGTGTCACAAAAACCAACACACGCAAATTTTTTTGCTCGGCCAAATTTGCCAGCAGACTGAAATTTGAAAAACCAACCGGAAGTGGGAGCTGCTTAAAATACCAAATGGGAGTGGCTTATTGTGCTATCATCACCATGACATGGATTAATCAAAATATCGTCAGTTTACTATCAATTGACAATAAATTCCATCATCTAGGAGCCACTACATCCTGCAAAATTCCAATTTTTGAACAAAAAATTCAAAAGTAATGTTAAACAATGACAACTTGACATGGATTAATCAAAATATCGTCAGTTTACAATCTATTGACAGTAAATTCCATCATCTAGGAGCCATTACATCGTGTAAAATTCCGATTTTTGAACAAAATTCCAAAAATAATGTTAAACAATGGCAACTTGACGTGTCACAAAAACCTTGACACGGAAAATTTTTGGCTCGACCGAATTCCCCGAATGACTGAAAATTGAAAAATCAACCAGAAGAAGCTACGCAATAACCTTTTTTGTTTTGCTCCTACGAATTTACCATCTTCTCTTCTTTGTAATTTTTGGAAAAAAACATATGAAATGCTTCACGAAGCTGGTGAAATTGTGTTGTTGAAAGGTATAAAATGAAGAAAAAAAATTACAAGTTTAAAAGCTCAAGAGGCTCTAAATCTGGGAAAAAATGAACAAGCTTCAAGGCTTTTGAAAGGAAACGAAATGTGTTGACATGGCTGTTCATGGGTCATTGTTCTTGGAAGCCAACCTCGATCCAGGAAAATCTTGCTCATCGAATGCTTGGAAATAAATTGGAAAGAAAATGAGCTGACGTGCTTCTTTGGGGATTCAATGGCTACAACTCAACCCGATGATACATTGATCTCACAGCCTTTAAAATTTGCTGTTGCCTGTTTTTTCGAGTCTCTCATTTCTTGTTCCAGTTTAGCAATTTTACATTTCAGTGCTTCAATTTCTGCATTGAGTTTAAGCATCTCTACGTCTTGCTTCTGGGTTACGTGATCTAAAATGCCCATTTGAAAGATTTGTTGTCTATTCAACGTGTAGTATGCATTCCTTGACGCAAAGAATTTCTCATTCGAATCTGGTATTTCATAACCTCTATTTGATTCAAGAATGTTGGTTCAGCATTCATTTGTCTGACGGGCATGATATCGTCCTCAAACCAAAACAATTTCTTATATCCAGAAGGATGAGGTTTCAAATCCCATCGCAAGGGCATTGACCAGCTATCACAAGGATTCGAACCAGGGCAACATCATTGGGAGGCGAGCTCTCTATAATCTGAACCACAGCGGCTCGCAATGGACTATTGGCTACGGTTTGGGAAACATCACTAAGGATGATCCGAAGACATGTCATCACAATTTTGATCCACTGCATAGGAGATGGCACCCCCGCTTCGGTAGCTTGCGAAGTCGAGTTCTTTACGGTAGAACAGTTTAACGAGGACGTGTACCGCACACCCTCGGTCCCTATGCAGGCTGATCACAGTGGTCACCCACCTGCTTATGTACCGCAGACAGTGGTGCTTTACTTCGCTATTCTACAGGGAACCGTGTCTTTACGATGAGTCCACTACGGGACGTGAATCATTTAAAACTGACATTTTTGAAAAATTGAATTTCTCACATAAAGCTTTTATTTTAGTCATATTAATCCATTTATTTAGTCATATTAATCCATTTAATCATATCATCCATTTATTTTTATAAAATCTTTTAAATCCGAAGATTTTCGAGGATGAATGATCAAAGTGACAGTATCTGAGTATTTTTGGAGTGGAAGATCATCCAAGTGGACTTGGCAACAAACAATCGACTAGAATTAGTAAATAACTTCTCTCATGGCTTCTTATAAATGTCGAGACTGGGAACTTCGAAACGCTGGTAGTTAGAATCAGTGTTAAGAATCTAAAACTGAAAATACAGAAAAATGTTCCTACTGATTAAATTTTTTCTTCTTCATCAGATAAAAAAAAATACTAATACAATAATTGCCATTTTATCTCGCATTATCGGTAAATATCGGTAAAGTGATATCTACTTACGACTGCTGAGATTTCGAAGTTTCTAAATAGTTTTTAGACATTTCATTGATTTAAAAACGATAAGCATTTGATATACAAGGCTAAATAAAATGTAATGCTATTTTGTCTCAGATTGAGATTGCTAAAATTTTAAAATGAAAGCATAGGGTTGCATAAACGCATAAATTTTTTTTTAATTTATTTATTTATTTTTTTAAAAAAGTTAAATCTGTTGAAGAACGTTAAAAATTCTTCATGGATAGAGGCAGATGCTAAGTGCGAAAATCATTAAAAATTCCATTTTATAAAATGAATTTAGGTGACGTTGACAAAGATCCAAGCATTTTGCGTGTTATACCTTTACAAATATATTAAAACTAAAGAGAGGTGGAGCGAAACAGAAGTAAGGAAACCAAAACAGAAAGCTTCGAAACACAATAAAGAAAATAAGTAACGAGTAATATTTCAAGCTAATTTACATAAGTTGACAAGTTGACTTACATCTCACTTAGATCATTTATCCATTCAACATTCAACTCTGCAATTGATATAAACACATATAATATAATCTGGAATTCTCAGGGAAATTTATAATCAATTCGGGAAGTCCTTGGAGAATTTGCGATAAATTTAGTTATCACACATAATTTCAAGTCGAGAGTATCTCAATATGTAATTTGGTATTAAAACTGCTTTATGAAACAAATTATGTAATGTATAAACTGAACCAGTGGTGCTATGATTTATTTTCAATAAATAACTTATGTTAATAATTTTGTTGTTAATATTTTCTATTAAATAAATATTTTTTAAATAAAAATTAAATTTATTAAGGCATTAAGGTGGCTAACATTTTCGAAATCAATTTACATATATTTTTAAATTTTAATAAAAAGACTAATTTATTAAACGTAAATTATAATTTATATTTAATGTTTCGATATTTTGTTTTTTATAATTTTCTTTAATATCGTGAAAAAGGTTTGAATTACTTCTGCGGATTTACTTCTGAAAAACACACGCACACACACGCGCACGCACGCACACACACACTAATTTAAGAACATTAAAGATATTCCCATGAATACTCAAGATGATTTGAACTTCTCTGAAAAGGAAATTAAGTTTGCTATTACTAGCATGACTCCAGGAGAAGATGGGATATCTAGTAGAATTGTGTCTGAAGTTTTTAGGCGCTATCCTAAATTTATTTCAGCAATTTATAATGAATGCTTATCTAGAGGAGAGTTTCCGCGCCAGTGGAAACATTCTTGCCTTCGATACTTTACAAAGCCTGGTAAAGAAACATCCTTCAACCCATCAAAATTTAGACCAATTAGTTTGCTTCCTGTCAGTGGAAAAATACTCGAAAAATTGCTTATTGAAAGAATTATGCATTTTTTGTACTCAAATGATAAATTAAGCTCAAATCTGTTTGGATTCACACCGGGAAAGTCAACTACTGATGCTGTTTTGAATGTTACCAATTTTGTAAAAGAAAACTTACGGAATAATTTCCAGGTTTTAGCTGTTTCTTTGGATGTAAAAGGGGCATTTGACGCTGCTTGGTGGTCGGCGATATTGAATCAATTGAGAAATTTTAAATGTCCCAATAATCTTTACTTGGTTGCTAGAAGCTATTTTTCCGAACGTTCGGCTTGCTTACGTACTTCAACGAATTGCATCAGAAGGAAAGTTACAATGGGCTGCCCTCAGGGGTCTTGCTACGGTCCGGGATTTCGGACAATCTTTTATGACTCCTTTCTGAAGCTGGGTTTCCCACAAAATGTTCACATAGTTGCTTTCGCCGATGATCTGCTCATGCTTATTACTGAAAAGTCTGAACTAGAATTGGAAGCGGACGGTAATTTTTGTCTGTCAAAAATCTTGGACTGGTCAAACAAAAATTAAAATAACATTTAACTCAGAAAAATCTAATATCTTGCTTTTATCACAAAAACGAATTAGAAGAGATAGTAAAATATATATGAACGGCAGTATATTGAATAGTGTTAGTGAGATGAGATATCTGGGCGTGATTCTTGATAGGAAACTTTGCTGGAATGCACACATTACAAATATGTTCAAAAAAGTTAGCTACACCCTCAATACCCTTGCCATATTGGCAAAGGTGAACTGGGTCATGGGTTCAAAGGCCTTAAAAATTATTTATGATGGAGCAATTTTGCCTCAGCTAACTTATGCTGCACCAGCATGGTTTGATGGCATCCGCTACTATTATAACAGGCGCAAGCTAAGATCGATCCAGAGACTAATAGTCCTACTTATTACTAAAGGACTTCGTACGATCTCATATGAGGCTTCTTATGTCCTAGCTGGACTTGTACCAATCTGTATTAAAATACAGGAATGTGCAGACATTTACTTAAAGGTGCAACCAGATACATTGAGTGATACGGAGTCAAATCTTGCCCCAAGATATTGGCTGCACCCTGGAAGGGTTGCTTCTACCAACAATAATTTAGATAGTGATGATCATCTTCTCATCTATACAGATGGAAGCAAAATCAATAATTGCACAGGCTGCGCTTTTGTGGCATATTACAATGATAATATTATTGCTGAAAGATCATTTAAGCTTCACCCTAATTGTTCTAATAACCAGGCAGAGGCTTTTGCCATTCTCCCATCTTTGAACTGGATGAACTCCAGGGATGACTTCTCATTCAATAACATCATACTATTCACAGATAGCCAAGTCAACATATCTAAAATTCAAGATAGGAAGTGCCATGACGATACTACTGAAAATATCCGTTTCATGATTTGGAAACTCTCTACACGAAACATCAATATAACCATTAATTGGGTCAAGGGCCATTCTGGAGTTATCGGAAATGATAAGGCTGATGAGCATGCAAAAGCGGCAGCCAAATCAGATCTCACCATCAGCTTCAGTAAATTGCCTAAATTTTTTATTAAAAATGATATTCTTCGATAGACCAGGAATATGTGGCAAGGTGAGTGGGACTGACTCCACACAAAACGTCAACATAACAAAGAGGTTTTTTCCATCAGTGCAAGAAAGAATGACCCAAAATTTCATTCCCAATTTCAAATTAACACAAATTTTATCCGGACACGCTCGTTGTAAAGAATACCTACATAGATTCAAGCACGTAGATTCTCCACTCTGCAGCTATGACCAAAATAAAGTTCAAAATATTGAACATATTTTATTCTTCTGCCCTGAATTAGACTCTCATCGTAGTGAACTTTTCAAATATGTAATCACAAGTGGATTAAAATGGCCACCAAACTATCAAACTCTGATTAATACTGACTGTCTACCAATTTTTCAAAAGTTTGTTCATAATATTCCTTTTCTTTCTTTTTGATTTTACTTGTCTGCTTTTATATTTTATATTTGTATTTCATTTTGTATTTTTGATCTAAATTTGTTATTCTTATTCTTCAATGCATGTATTATAACTCTTGTTATGGAGCATGCTGAAAATAAATATTT